GCCAGTATTGCCCTGATCCCCAAACCACACACAGGTGTTTCAAGGAAATTGGATCATCATCCCTCATGAACATAAACACATTTTCAACAAAATTTTAGCAAATCAGATTCTACAAAATACCTTCATAAATACACTGGGTAACAGACTAAGTGAGATTTATTTCAGGAATGCAAGGTAGAGTTAACATTGGAAAGTTAATGAAATTTACCACATTAACAATGCTAAAGGAAAATCATGACTAAGTAGATGAAGTTCAACAATTCTATGCAAATAACTCATGGTAAATGCTCTAAGTACATTTAGGATTTAAAGAAAATTTCTTCACCTTGATAAAGCTTCTATTTAAAAAACCCACAAAACAAACCTAACATGCATACTAAATAGTGAATGTCTGAATGCAGTCCTTAAACCGAGCTCAATGCAAGGATGCCAACTCTACTTCTGAGCATTTCTCTAGAGGTTGTAGAGTGCAGTAGAAAAAAAAAAAGTATTGAAAAGGATCTTCAGGGGCTGGGGGTGTAGCTCAGAGGCAGAGTGTGTGTTTGGCATGAGAGGCCCAGGGTTCAATTGCTAGCACAAAAACAAATGATGATAACCTCTAGAGAATCCAGTATTATTAACCAAAGGCTGGTAGGTAGTAAGTCAGTTTAGTATGGTTGCAGGATACAAGAATGATATGCAAAATTTTATTGTATTTCTGTGTATTGGCTATGTACAATCAAATTCAAATAAAAATAGAAGTTTCAGTAAAGTTAAATATCAAAATCTTAGGAATAAATTTGAGAAAAAAAAAAGATCTGAAGCCCTATGCAGTGAAAAATAACAAAACATTCCTGAGGGAAATGAATGAAGACATGGGGTATATACTGTGTTTGTGGGTCGGAGCCTCCATATTTTTAAAATGTCAGTCTTCCCCAATGATTTTATTCAACCTTAACCAAGCCCAATGGAGGATGGAAGGATAAAAGTTTATTACAAATTAGTTTAAAAATTCATATTTAACTACAAAGAGTTTTTAATAACCCAAATGACAAAAATTTGGAGAGGTCACACAACAGGACTTTTTAAGACAATACAAAGCTACAGAAATCAGGACAGTATGGTATTGGCATCATGGTAGATGGAGATCTGGAATTTCAAGAGTCTAGAAATAGTTCTATACCATATCTAATTGGTTTGTTTTCAATTAAGGTAAAAAGGAAGTTCAGTGTGGGGGGCATACTTTTTCAACATCTTATCTGGTCCAGTTGGATATATTTGAAAAATTATTACATGTCCTTACATATATCGGAATTAATTTATGATGGATCATAGGCCTAAATGTAAAAGCTAAAAATGTTAAAGACTTCTAGAGGAAAACAGGAAACGGATCTTAAGTGTCTTTGTGTTTGACAGAGATTTCTTACATGACACAAAAAGTATAAAGTATAAAAAAGTAATAAATTATAGTTCATCAAAATTAAACCCCTTTGCTTTTTAAAAATTTGCTGGTTCTTTTTAGTTCTACATGGATTGTACTATCATGTATAATCCCTCTGCTTTTCAAAAGTCACCGTTAGCCACCAACTTATTTTTGCCCCCTTGCCGGAGGGGTGCTGTACACAACCTATCCTACTATAGGGACAGAAGTGGGCCCCTCTTCACCACCTAGCCAGAGCCATGCCACACAGGCTTACCCAGGCTCCTTTGTTTCAGCAAGACCAGTCCCTGACTGCCAACCCCACCCCTCACTGTGGCCCACCCCTTCCTTACCCGACACACATCCTTGTCAAACCTGAGTTACTTAGCTGCCCTGTGAGGCGCAGGTAGAGGTGGACAAGCCTTTCTGACTCCATCTGCTTGTGATAGCACAAGTCCAAGTCCACGTGCTGTAGTGGAGTTGAGGGCCATGAGCCGAGGTAGTCTGAATGCTGGGCAAGTTCTGCTTGGCCAGAGCCATCGTTATAGCCTTTGTTTGCTCCCTTTGGGCTTCTGTGATGCAAAGATTCCTCGAGAAGGTTTAGGAAAGAAGGCAGAGGAGGCTTAGAAGGGAAGCAATCTTCTGTCAGCAGCTCGATGCTGTGACAAAATACCTGTGGAAAAAACCTGAAGGAGGAAATTATTTTCTCTCACGGTTTTAGAGATTTCAGTTCATGGTCGTTTGGCTCCATTGCTTTGGGCCTGAGGCAAGGCAGAACATTTTGGCTGGGAACAAGTGGTGGAGCAAGAGGCTCACTTCGTGATGGGGGATGGAAGGGGGTGGGGAGAGAGAGGAAGAACATTTTAGATATA